AGTAATAATTGCACAAGTTATATGACTACCGGGTCAAAAGTAATAGCATAATTTTAGGACTTTCCCAGATCAAAAGTGATTGTAAGACGTCCTGGATCAAAAGTAATAATAAATTGCACAAGTTATATGACTACCGGATCAAAAGTAATAGCATAAATTTTAAGACGTCCCGGATCAAAAGTAATAGCATAAATTTAGGACTTTCCCGGATCAAAAGTGATAGCATAAATCTTAAGACGTCCCGGATCAAAAGTAATAATTGCACAAGTTGTATGACTACCGGGCTGCCGGATCAAAAGTAATAGCATAAATTTTAAGACATCCCGGATCAAACGTATTAATTGCACACGTTATACGACTTCCGGATCAAGAGGAATAACAGCCTGCCAGTGTCATAGATGAGCTGTGAAACCACTCTCTCCCTCTCTCGTTTGATGGATGCTGTGCGGGAGCCAGGGTTCCTACCAGATGTAGAAGGCTGCGGTGTTGAGGATGATGATGGAGGAAGCACGACGTGTATTGATGGAATCACATCATGTGCTAAGCTCAGCCTAGAAAGACGTTATGAATCCATCATTTACTTACTCTACTTTTGTAATACGGATTTAACACAAATTTATATTATATAGATCTTTAATAATCTCAGCATAGCGTCTAATAGTTATACTAACAACAACGTGCATGATTCAGTAGTATACAGTATGTTACAGTACTATAGTATATATATATGTCATAATATAAAATATAATATCATATACACACACAGTCACACACCCAGGCACACAGTCACACACGCACGCATGCACGCACGCACACACACACACACACACACATATATATATATATATTATATCGGTATAGTCCCTTGGACTTTGAAGACTATTATTTACGAGGTTATGACATTTAGTTACACTAGTTCTATATTATGAAGAAACCCCCGGGATACACGGGTACAGATTCACTCTCCAACTAGTGCAACTACACTGTAGTGCCTGTTCAGCTGGACGCCAGGGCTGGTGTGGCGTGTGCAGCTACGTATACGTACGGGACAGATACTATTACTTAGAGAGCGCAAGATGACTTCCACAAATTTTATAGTAAGCGGCTATATGATCCAGGTATATCTACATCACAGAAAAATTTTGCTTACTGCTTCGCAAAACCTTGCGGAAAAGCCATGAAGTTAAGGAAACAGTCCTCCATGAAATGCTTCATACACAGCATGCTTGTGTCGGATACCACCCACTTCGCTCGCTTAGATTATACAAATGCTGTCCATTTCTTTCTCATGGAAAAGTCATTCGGCCACTCATACAATTTACTACCTGTGTGCTAGCAATTGGCCGCAACACATCTGCGTGGCATCGTAAAAATGAGATAAATTTGACTCGAACTACAAACACGCTCGTTCACTTCTATAGTTAGTGTGGCGTAACTAGGCGAGGTGGGTCCTGGAAATGACGTCAAATCCGGAAATTGCCGATGTTTGCCAAACGCGAGTGGCTTGTTGACAGGTGATGTTTCAAGGGCCATATCTTAAATATGCGCGATTTTTCACGGAAAAAAAAATCGGAATGCCAGACAATTATTATACTCATGTTTATTTATCTATTATTTGTGGTTTTTAGAAAGATATTGCAGATCCTCTTTAACTCGTATTGCAGGCACGGCGCGTCATGTGCAGTTATGCATCCACTCCTGCATATTAACATGCAACAGCGAGGCATTCCTTTTGTAAACCGTCCTCGTGTCATTAATTATTCTCCGCCTCGCCGCGCACCACAGGTATTGGGTCAAGACGACCAAGATTGGCCAGCGGGAGATTCTTGCTGACAATCTTCCGGGCTTCCCCTCTATCATACGGCCGAGCAGTGCGGGTGGATACTGGGTTGGCTTCTCGGGGACTAGACAGGATGGACAGTTCTCACTAATGGACCTATTCTGGCCAAGGGTAGCGCTAAGAAGCACAATGACGAAGGTGAGAGGGTTATCAGAGGGAGTCGCATATATATTGACACTAAACGTAACTGTAAGGAGGGAAGAATAACGGTACCAAGGGCCACTTAAAATGGATTGCACCTAGAGAGGGACGTATGTATAGTAATTTACTTCGAGTCAACGTGGGTGGGTGCTTTTCTTCAGAGTACCCAGACGTGCTTAAACGCCCATGGAATTGCCGCCATGCGTTGGTCGCCATATTGTGGCTGCCTTAGTTATTATTGTGATGATTTGGATAATAGTGATGTTAGCATTATGTACATTGTTTATACTCTACACAGTGTGTGGACAGTGTTGATGACTAAATGCTGTTGTGATTAACTGTTTATTTACGCATGTAATAAAATTAACATTTACCACTGTTCATGAATGTTCATGTCACACTCATTACATTCAAAGTGATCAGGTGTTACAAGGGTGATAATATATATCCCCTGATGTGAATATTAAAAATGATACACATCTCAGTTTTATTTTAGCAATTTGCTGGATAATATCAAGAGCGTATTAAGAAGGAGAGCGTACAACGGTGAAATGATGAAACCATTTTGCAGTATTAGTCAAATTGAGAAACTTTGCCCGTTTTATTTTGACGATTCTTTGCGGTATTATTGATCAGCTGTCCTACCTTGCTAATATAAAAGAAACTGCTTGTCCCTTCGATGCCCCTACGCTGAGATAATGGGCGGTGAAAATCTGGTATTTTTGCGGAAAACCGACTCGAGATCCCGGTTGGCTGTGACCCTCTCTCGCTTCGAGATATAGCTTCGGGGAACCTCGCGTGTTTCCGTCAATGATTGACAAATGCAATGAATGACGTCTGTTATTGATTGCCATAGTGATGACCCCCACCTGTGCCCACCTCACGCTGGATGTATAGTAAACTCTGTAGTACGGACGTGAGTCAGCGCTACCATGGCGCTACACAGCGGCGACCGGAAGCAACATATACTGGCCACAGAACGAGAGAGGGTCACAGCCAACAGGGATCTCAAGGCAGTTTTCGGCAAAAATACCAGATTTTCACCGCTCATCTCAGCGTAGGAGCATCGTAGGGACAAGCGTTTTTTTTTATATTAGTAAGGTAGGACAGCTGATCAATACTACTGCAAAGAATCGTCAAAATAAAATGGGCAAAGTTTCTTAATTCGACTAATACTGCAACACGGTTTCAGCATTTCACCGTTGTACGCTCTCCTTCTTAATACGCTCTTGATAATATATGACAAATTTGTTTTTGTAATGAGCAATTACTGAGTAATGCTACTGATTTTAATTGCCACATTTCTTCATATGCAGTTTTTGCCACGTAGCTTTATCACCTGGATGGCATTCAACAGATATGGGTTAGTCATCGAGTTGGATCAGGATGGGAACATTCTACGCAGCTTGCATGATACCACTGGTTTCGTCGTTCCATCTGTTGACATGCTTGTTGAACACGAAGGATTTTTATTTATTGGTAGTGACATTAGCAACTATCTAGTTAAGGTTCAGCTATGACCTGCACGCACATGTATTCATCTCCTTCAGTATTAAAATTCAAATAAGGTGTAAATATTTCTCCTGATTGATAGCTGGAGAACCAAGAATTTCCAGTTGTCCAGGATTTTTCAGCGAGATCTTTGGTTGATCTGTGTCTACGGCACAATTTATCACGACATTTATTACGGTTGTAAGTATACTCGTTTTATTAGTATAACATTGAATGATACATATTATATAATATATATATATATATATATATATATCAGGAGTAGATAATAGGAGGAGTGTGACCATCAATAAACAAGGGAAATTCGTCATTTACTAGCCTTATAATACACTACGATTACTACGCGTAACTCATCCAACTTGGCTCAAATCGGACACAGTACATTCGCCAATCATCGTGCGAAATCGTTTCCTCGTAGACACCCCAATCCAGAGATACAGCCTAAAACGTACGCACACCGATTCTCCATTCTTTGCCATCAATCCAGCCCATTGCGCGCCTATAGTTCAGACAAAGGCAGCAACACTGGCCGCGCAGTGGCTGTGTTTGCTCTCTCGCGATAGTGTGATGTGGCGTTGTGGCTCGCGGGGAGATTAAGGCATCAACACTCGCGCGAGATAACCTTTGACCCGGTACACAGCTACACAGGCCACCTTTGCTACATAGCTGGCATGCCTTCACGCACGCACGCCAACCGCATGATTAGCTCGTCGAGTGTTGCGTCGATACTCAATCTCCCCGCGATCCACAACCGCACACATTCAGCTATCGAGAGAGCAAACACAGCGATTGCGCGGCAGTGTTGCTGCCTTTTGTCTAATTATAGGCCGCAATGGGCTGGATTGATGGCCAAAAGATGGAGAATCGTGTCGTACGTTTTAGGCTGTATCCCGGATTGCGGTGTCTACGAGGAAACGATTTTCGCACGATGATTGGCGAATGTACTGTGTCCGATTTGAGCTCAAGTTGGATGAGTTACGCGTAGTAAATCGTAGGTATATAAGGCTAGTAAATGACGAATTTCCCTTGTTTATTTGATGTCACACACCTCCCTATTATCTACTCCTGATATATATATATATATAGTATACTGTTCACTCTGTTAAAACCGTTCAACTCTGTTACGGTCAAGATTTGTCACAAACGTACTTCTCACCTGAGTATCAATGTACGTGTTACTTAGTCCAGTTTGTTCAACAATATCCACTACCTAGCCAAGTTCGTCTGGAAAATTGGAAGCCAGTAAAAGAACATATCTACCTATCTTGTCTTTATCTCTGCATTGAATAAATGTAATCGTTGCTCTAAAATGGTGCTAAATAAACACTCAATCTACTAGCTGACTATACATCTATGTA